TAAGGAAAAGTGCTTCTGAATCACAGGAATTAATTAAAAGTGGTCTTGGTGCCAAAGTTCTGTCTGATGGAGAGTGCATTCATTGCTACGAGGCGCTTGTGATTTTGGTCATGGGTACCAGCAACTCCCAGAACAGTTTTGGAAGTGTGAACATGAGGAATCACAAACTCTACTGATCGATAACTCAACGCAGATGCAACGGCAGTTCGCAGCATTGTCTTGGGTTTACAAGACTGCTATTTTGAAGAGATAATGCTAAATGGAAAACATTCAAATTACTGGAGGCACACCCCACATGTGTAAAATAAAAACAGCCTAGGTCAACGTATCAACATTCGCATTTCCCTGTTTCCCTGGAACAAAAAGGACTTGTAAAAATTGCACGACCACTATTTGTTCCGGTCAACGTGATATTCGAAACAAATTTGGCAATTTCACAGATCTTTTAAGATAATTTTATTTACAAGTATGTGCCTTATTATGCTTTGAGTGGTAAGACAATTTTGAAATTAAAGCCAATTTTACCGACATATATGTGTTTGATATACGAGCTACACTCAGATAGTAGCCCATTAATCACAGACCTGTGTGGTAAGCATATGGGATATGGCGTTTACTTATCAGGAGGCTATTAGACGCGTAGCATTACGTGACACAAAAAAGTAATGATGAAAGAAAACTGTCTGTTCGTTTTTACCAATTTTGCTTTATTCTCAAACTATCATGTATGCAAAATAGCGACTGCTTTGAAGCAAGTTTAGGAAATAACAACGATTAAGATGACATCAGCTTATCTGGGTCATGTAGAAATAAAACGAGTAATCACTTTTTTTAACAGTGTGCTGCAAATGACGCATAGCAAATCTTAATTGCGCACACCTAATTAAGCATTCAACGTAAATGTCCAAGATAATTAAAAACCAATTTGGGATCTTAACCTGTACTTGTACTTTCAATCATCGTTTTTACGAGTGTTTGCATGCGTGTACGCTAAATGCGCTGATTGTTTAAAACATCATTAGAGACTGCTGTTTCTCAAAATAATTGAAGATACGTAAACGTTCCATGCATGCTCCTCTTTTGCCACTGTTAAACGTAGGCACCACAGACAATAGAATCATGCCAAGAACAGCCAATTAATAATCTACACAGCCGCTTTTCACTGGTCTTCGTGTGCTTTTCGTAAATTCATGATTTCAATTTCCTAATTCTCCATCTGTCATGCTTGGCATCGTGGGTACATGTTTTACGGACCAAAAGGCGGCTCTGTGAAAGGTAAAAAAATGGAAACTTGCACCATGTTGAGAGCAGATTTGAAGCTGATGTTTGGTAAAAAAGACCACCTATGCAAGTATAATGCGACGAAAATAGTGGTCTGGGTTTAAAGTCGGATCCAGTTCAAATTTGCACGCACAAAAAAATGCTTGTAAACATATTTCGAGTCAGGTGGATCTGTAAAAAATATGTTGGACCTATTTATGTTGCAGAATATTGTTCTCTGTCAGCATGCCAGTAAGCGATTAAACGAAATTCCACGACTGCGGTCTGAAAACGTTTCACCGCAGCCAAATTTTGGCGCGAACGTCTAGAAATGGACCGAAGCTTGTAACTCTTTAGAATACTCTTTTAGTTTTTTGACTAAATTGGTTGTTGCATGTCTTACCCTCCACTCACATTTCTCAGCCCCGTCCTATTAATGCTACGCTGCCGTTTGAAGCAAACAAGATGAATATAATCGCTCGCCCTTGTCTGTTTGCTATGCTAATTAAACCTTCCTCGAATCTTACGACCTCAATGCATTGTGCATCTGATCCACACATTGTTGTACTTCAAAGACCTCTGCAAATTTCATTCTTAAAAAAATTTTCTTTCTTCCAATCTTAGGCCATCTATTTACTTTTGCCTTATAAATCCTTTTTAACAAACTCTGAGCACAAACGTTTCCCATTTTTTTTTCAAATAGTTAAATAGTCAACAGACACTGGTACCATGGAACCTGACTAATTTGCTTAGCGAAATCTACTTGAGATATTTTTTAAAAAAAATTCTTGAACTTGTAACAAGAGTTTAGTTTAGTCTAATCTGTTAATTATCGATGCTAGTGAGTAATTCGCATTAATGTTAGCTCACTCGGTTCGTTTAAAACACAAATCACTGACATGTCGACCAACAAAATATTTGCATGAAAACAGTCGGTCAGCTCGGTTAGCTTGTTGGCGGGTCGTCAAACAGATATCAGGTAATATCGTCTTTGTCCATTCGTGTCATTGTTTGCTAACGTTTTCTAAGTTAAATAGTATTTCTACCACTTTCCCTTACCTGCCAGTAGCACCGTTTAGATACAAGACTTGGTGTAACTTGACACGAACATCAGTCAGTTAAGGGCACTAGTGACAGTTTACAATTGCACTACAACTAGCGGTTATGTTATTTTTTTGTGTTTTATTCAAAGCAATTTCATTTTCAGGCCAATATTTCCACCGCTATCGGTAAGAATCAGAGGCCTCGTGCCCAGTTCCATGTACACAATCTTCGTTGACCTGACGCAATTGCAGCCGAACGCTCTGACATACGAGGCAGGGACTTGGAGAACATGCTCATCGACAGCAGAGTATCCACCACCTGGAGGATCACGTAAGAGTACACTCCGAAATTATGATTAGATTATTGACTGATCGCGTGTATATGTATAAAAAAATTGTCTTTTGTAGAACCCCTCTTCTACGTTCACGGTGTGCAGTGGCAAAAGCGTTTTCATCGATTTTGACTTCAGCAACCTCGGCATTTTGGTATTGTGTAACTGCTACAAATTGTGTGCCTGGTATGAAGAAACTACCAACCACCGCAACATGCAGCTGCCCCATCCTGAATTCGTTGCGTGCCTCCTCAATTTCTCTTGCACTCAAATGCCGCAATATGTGGCATCGCGGAATGTACTGATGTCGTGTACAGACAAACATCTGTAAGAGAAGCAACAAATGCAGGTATTAGCGTTACCAAATACTAACTAGGTGCAGTGCACATTCCGATAATTAGCCAGGAAGAACATGACCTGGGATTGTGGGCCTCTCAAATTGCGAAACACGCACATCAGCAGGTATGTCAACTCACCATATTTATATCCTGCTCTACTGTTTTCGAGTGTATGATTTTGGCAGCCTTCAAATCAACTCCCTCCGTCATCCTAAATTCCCCCTTTCGCGGAGAGTTTCGCAAGGTATAAGAGGGGTTCTGTAAAATAGGAAAAAGGCGACGTGGTTTTGCGAAAGCAGAGGGAATAAGCTGAATTATGCAGCTGTGTGATAAATCAGTTCTTGCGAGTTCCTTCAGGTGGTGGGTATTGGGCTGTAGATTCACGAAACGTCCAAGTGCCATTCCTGTTGTATGTCATAGCGTTAGGCTGTAATTGTACCAAGTCTATGACGATGGAGTACACCGCTTTCGGATCAAGGCTGCTGACGTTTACTGACAAATGCGGACAGATGCGCCTGAAAAAGAGATCGATCAAACTGAAAACATTGATTATTGATATGTTAAGCGACCAAGGACCTTAAGTTGACTAATGGTATTCTGTAACTTGCTCGATCGTGCCTGCCATGCCTTTCGATGCACTCACCTTCCAACCCTAGTGGTGATCATTTCCGACGTGTGCATAGCCAGTCTTTTCCACTTCTCTTTCTCAATTAACTCCGGGGAAGTTGTTTCTTCTTCTTTTGAGAAAGCCCGTCGTTCAACACAAATCGGCTGATGCGATTCTGCGGAGGCGCACATGAATTCACTTAAACTGGTTCTTGGTGGCACAAAGCTGCATAACTGGAAGTGAGTGTCACGAGACATTTTGACACTCTGGTCTTCGTCCTGCAGACGACTTGTGAATGGCTGCGTTGAATTAGGCCGTGCATTTTGTAGAGGCGCTGCCTCGTTTTGAGGGCCTGATGGCGAGAAGGTGGTATCAGTCAGATGATGTTCGAACTGATCCTGTGGGGGCACATTGTTGGAAAAAGGCGCAAAACGATGGCTATTCGTAGATAGCTGAGAGCATGTCCTAGAAAAGCTCGAAGGTTTTCCGCATGAGTTTGTTCGTCTTCTCTTAGAACCACCTGATGTTGTTTGCCCTGAGGCTCCCTGCTCACGGCTGGCAGCCACAGCATCTCCATTGTTGGTTGACGTGGGCGACTGAGGCTGCGTTGCAAGCTCGCCGAGAAGGTCAAGAAGCTGGTTGAATGTTTGTAGGCTTATATTAGCCAAAAGTATACACACGGAAACAGCAGAGGAGGATAGAAATATGGTGAGTTGACACACTTGTCCATGTAGGTGTTTAGCAATTTAAGAAGCACACAATCCCACGTCATGTTCTTCAATGCTTATTATCGGTGTGTGAAGTTAAATGCAAAGACACTGACTTTCCAAGGGAGTACACTCCAACTAACTGATAATTTCTAACCCTAACATCAGCTTTTGCTATTTCTCCTTTAGATGTTCGTGCATACCCAGCACCAATATATACCACGTTACCACATACTTCGGCATTTGGACGCAAAAGAAATTGAGGAGGCTCGCAATGAATTCAGGTTGGGGCAGCTGCGTGTTGTGGTGGTTGGTAGCTTCTTCATACCAGGCACACAATTCGTCGCAGTTACACAATACAAAAATGCCGAGGTTGCTGAAGTCAAAATCGATGAAAACCCGTTTGCCGGTGGAAGACGTAAGCGCAAGCGTGGAGGCAGCTCTGCGTCCAGTCTAAGCTGAAATTTTGTGCAGAGCATTTTGTACACATTATTTTAACCAGATTTGTATGTATTTAAGCAGCAAATATAAGGTACTTGCATTGGTTGCATGCAAACATCTGTAGAAGATATAGCAAAATGAAATGATTTTTAAGCATTTAAAATGTATTTAATTTGACAATCACGGTTTCTATATTCCAAACAATAGGCAGTCAGGATAACTGATTGGATTGATTTAATTATGTTACAAGCATTTTTGAGCAGTATGCACATCATGTTTCTGCAAATGGCTTACCTACCAGTTCTGGTGGTGATCATTTCCAGACTACGTCTAGCCAGTGTTTGCCAGGACTCTTCGTTTCTTGTTCAAGTAGCATTCTTGGTTCTCCTTGACCCCAAAACCTATTGGCATTATTCTCCTCCTGCACAAATGGGTTGGAGCGGTGACATGGCACCGACATATACATCAATGAAATGACCTTGCATGGCCAGAAGCATAGATACACTCATGCGAATTTCTAACGACATTTCAAAAATCGCATATTAGCGTCGACTGCAAGTCCTTTTAGAAACTCGGGAAGCCGACTGTCTTGAGGTTCGTTGGTAGTGAGCGGCTGCCACAGCATCTTCATTGATGGTTGTGAACTGGCTTACGTTGCCTGAGGAAATTGGCTGAGGTTGCAAATTGAAATGCGGCAGGCCAATTGGTCTATTCGGTGGTAACATTGGGCAGTGAATACCATAAGAGATCTGATGGTCAGCAAGGAAGACGTTTGAATAACTACGTTGTGCCAGTGCACTGTGACTTCTGATTTGGT